TTAATCCTTGAAATGAGATACCTTGTGAAAGCACTCACTTAAATGGCTCATTAGAGGCCATGCCATCCACTCCTTTCAGGTATACTCTACATCTCATGTTCTTGTGTTGGTGTCTTTTAATCTGGTATGATTTTTCTTTTTGCCGATAGGAATGCCAGTGTGTTGCAGCAGTGTAAAGAGACGTATATGCCGTCTAAGTGTGCAGGAGAGACACCATTTCCAGGCTGTCAGCGGTGATGACAACCTCAGCATCTTCCTCTTCAGGCTGCTCCTGCTGTCACAGGCCCTAATCCCGGAGCTGCAGGGATGACAGGTGAGTGGTGCCGGAGCCTCTGGTCTGTGACTGGAAGCTCTGGGAGAATTTCACGTGCACCCCTCTCTTGTCTCCCATCGATTCTGCCACTTCCCATTATTGTCAATCAGAGCGGCGTAGTCTCTACGGGAGGAGCTGTGCAGCAGGGCAGCGGAGTTCGAAGAGCGCGCCTGCCAGCTCCTCCACCAGCACGGGGGGACACCAGGGGCCCCTCTCAGGAGGCTGCCTGGGCAGGATGCCACAACTAAAAAGTGAAACCTTTTTTCTTTACAACACATAGTGCACATGGCTGGGAAGCACAGAGGGGTAAAACCTCTGGAGCAGCTTTGTGTCGACAAAAGGAGCAGCTGAGGCCCACGCGGCAAACATAGTTTCACAGCGCTGTCAGCGGGAAAGCTGCTCTCTCAGATGTGACCGCCTTGTTAGAAAAATGACATAATAACAATGACAGGAATAATGGAACATAGGTGAAGCGCTGCTCTGCAGGTGGAGGAAGGATTGGGAGGTGGCTGCTCCATAAGTGAGCCTCCAAATGTGGCCTCGTCCCCCGGTGGCTCCTGACCCTGAGTGGGCTGCCGGCGCGGTGCCGTGCACGCGCCATGGTCAGGTAAAGCAACCATGCGGCGGTTATAAGCCCTGGAGATTGATGGGAGCAGTGCCCCCTCCCTCCCTGCGCTGTAAAAGATTATCCGCTCGCCCGCTGGAAACAAAGCTGTGATGGAAATTCGTCTCGCATCATCAGCAACAAAATATCTACACGCTGAAGCGGGAGTCTCTCATTTTTCATGGGCTATATATTAAATAAAAAAAGGCATTAAAGAAAAAGGGAAGGGGGTGGTCTGAGTGATAGCACTAGTTAGTATTTTTTTTCTAAATGGGCCACTTGAATCAGGGAGATTATACGGTTTTTATTGGCTGTCAGGAAACACAACTTTCTGCGTACTTCACCCGCTGAAGCTCGTAACGCTCTGATTAGAATGCCAGCAGAAATGAAAAGGGATGGTGCTGGTGTAAAGACACGGGAGAGGCAGCAGGACAAGCACAGATGCCCTGGAATCTGCTCCCCCTCAAATACACAAGAGGACCGACACGCGCACACCAATAAAGCACACAAGGCGAGCTAACAGGCTGCACACGAGCTTCAGACACAATTTATACAACGAGTTTCTCAGTCAGATCTGGTGTCAGAGGCTGAGCCGTGCCTATTCTGAACCGGATACATGAGACACATCAAGCAGAGTGTTATCTCGCGCTAAGTGAATATTGCATTCAGCTGATATGTGATATTTGAATTTCCCATTAGGGGGGGAATGTGTGTCAGAGTGAAAAAGCTCAGTGATGCTTGCTCATTTCAGAGCAGGCAGTGAATGGAAACCTTGCTCCACAGTTGCAGTGTGTCATGGTGGTGATAAGGATGCTGTGATGGAGGGGGACTCCTGAGGGGGTGACTAGTAATAAAACTGACTGCTGTTGCTCACAGGGTCACCTACACAGCAGCCCGAGTCAGTTTGAAGACTAACTATCATTTACTAGAAACTCAACCCGATCACTGTGATCTTCTACGGCAGATTGAAATGGGTCTTTATATCGACTCGAGACACTCCAGTCTATTCACGTCTGTCAATTTGTTCAAACTCTGCTTTCAATTTCCCATCGGTGGCGAGCGAGTAAGAGAGGGTAACGTCAAACTCCCAAACATGACAGAGCTGGCTCTTTCTGACGAGAGGAAGCCATTGATTTTTCCTCCATTTCACCATCAATCTGGTGGAGAAGAGGTGGCTGTGGGTGCTCAGACAGCTGATGATGTGATTTGTAAGCGTGGACCACCGGTGAGCGGAGAGAATTGCTCCGACTCTCAACACGTGGCAAAGTGACTACCGGCGTCTTCAGCGTTCAGTCGCAAGATTAACAGCGGGGGATCTACTGATGGTCTCCTTCGGCCGAGGGAGTATTTTCTCTGTCAGCCACACTAACATTTGTATTCAGCAGAAACACTGTCAAGGTTTGTGTCACTCCATTGTGAAAAGTATTCTAGAGTAGCAAGAAGCAATCAGTTTCATTATCAGTTCATCTGTTGTTTTCCTAATTCATTATTCAGCTTATAAATTGTGAAAAGTGCTCGTCACTGTTCCCGGAGCCCATGATCTTCAAATTGCTTTTTTTTCAACCAAAAGTTTCAAATCTAAAAAGGTACTTTTAGCTAGGGGCTGCTCTATGAATGGCACTACAGATAGTAAGTCAGTCTGTCCACCTCTTCATTCTATCTCAACTGGATGAAAGGCCATGATGTACTTTTAACCCAATTTGTTTGTCTGCTTGTCAGCCTTATTACTGGAAAGACTACCGGCCAGATTATCATTGAACTTGGTGGAAAGGGCCAAGAAAGGACCAATAAAATGTGGATAGGATCAAAATCAAGGGGCAGATGCACTAATTATTAAATTCGAAACAATTTGTTGCTTACTGGAAAAATTCATTTGAATGTGGCATCACCAATAATGTTTTATACTGTTTTATATCTTTGTCAGGGCAAAAGACGGTCTCAAATAACGTTTTTGTTACTGTTTGTACTTTCAAGCCTCCTGATTGGCTATGTTGCATACCACGTACTGTACCAACAACATTCCCTGTGTGTTGCCAGCCATGTCATCACCCAGTGTTTCCTGTCTCTCTATTCTGTAATACTCATGCATGTATTATTCTGTAAATATGTATATGGCATAACTTTAATTTCAAACCCCATCTTCACATACGCATTTTGGACAATCATCATTATTCATTTATTGCACACACATTTCAGCTTTTGAAATAAATAGACACTGCAGATTTTTTTCGGTAAATACTCATGACATGTAGGAATGATTAAAACATCACAGATGACATAAAGGCATTACATCATTAAAAAAATTAATTACACATGACAATACAAAGACATTAATAAAACTACAATTTCATCAAACAACTTCTTCGAAATGTTCTCTTCATACAGAGTTTATTAAAAAGCAGAGTATCCACCTCATGCTGACACTTATTCTGACCTAACAACACCATCATAGAAAACAGAGCTCCTGCATAAACGCTGCACTGCAGGTTCGATTGAATACCATTGTAATGTCTCTCTAACATCTAGTGACACCGTGCAGGCTTTCTAAGGAAGGAGTAATCCTCTTTAGATCATTTGCTAAGCAATTAGGCATGCCTCCACTGCTATTAAATATGAAGATAACAGCCTATGAGATAAGATGCTATTTGTACTACGTATCAAATGTGGATAGCTGCCTAAGAGCCCTGATATCAGGGAGATATATTTAATTCCTTGTAAATGAAATTAAAAAATACGACAGTAAAAAATTAAAGAGACATATCTACTCTACTATCTATCATGAAATTGAATTTATCAATTTAATGTCCTCAGACCTAAATCCTCAATTAATGGAGCTATAACTATGCATCACATCATAAATACTACACATTTTATACAGTGCAATCACTTTAAATGCATGGCTTCATGGATAAGATCAAGTCTGACATTCCACTGAACAAGGCAAATATATAAATACGTTTAGCTGCCAAAATAAATTGTCAAACATATTGAGAGAGCATCATCGCCACGCTGACAATCACAGGAAACCCTGACCACACTAGGATTCTATTGTGAAAAGAAAGGTGCCCAGATCAAACGGCGTCACTTTTGAAAGCCAAAGTGAGTTGAACTACGGCGACTCGCAACATGCATTTGTCAGCAGGAACCAGAGAGCCTCTTCTGCATGTGTTTCTATCATCACTACACAGAGAGAACAAACGCCACTGACAAGAAAGGAGCCACAAAAAAAAGAAAAGCAGATTTCCCACTGACCTGTGACCCGGGGACCAAGGGGCCGCCCTGTGTGCATACAGAGGAGGTTCAAACAGAGTTTATGACTGCATTATCTCTCCTCCTTCCTCAACACCTCTCCACCCATCAGTGGACACTAGCAGCCACTACACCGGAGCACACAGACCGGGCATCACTCATTCACTCGCCTCCTAGGTGCCTTTGTCAGGTGATTGCTGGCGGAAAAAGGAAAACAGATCAATACATCTCCCATGGGCCTGACAGGTAATCTTTACCTGGAATGAAATATGAGTGGTACCGGCCTGCTGGATTCCTTAACTGTAACAGGGCAATTGACTGGCTTTGCGGAAGCCATTCCCCCCCGCCCCCCCACTTCCTGGCCATTGGAAATACATTTTGCAGCATACAGTCTGGCTGAGATGACATTATGGGGACTGCTAATTACCAGAGAGTCAGGAGAGGTGTTTCCCCTCCCGCTACTAATGGAACTGTATCTGAAGTGATGCTTCTTCCTGCCCTGTCAATGCCTTGGCACCAAAACACAGACTGACTGATAGAGCAATGGTGGGAAGCTCTCCTTAAAACACTAAACAGTCAATACCTGTCAACCAGAGGCTTCAAAAGGAAACCAATGTATTCATCAACAACTTCAAATTACGAATGTGGATCATGTATGTGTGGCATGTGAATACCCCACGAAGCTGCTGGACTGTTTGGTCAAGCTGCAGCAGCTCTGTGTGTGTGTGTGTGTGTGTGTGTGTGTGTGTGTGTGTGTGTGTGTGTGTGTGTGTGTGTGTGTGTGTGTGTGTGTGTGTGTGTGTGTGTGTGTGTGTGTGTGTGTGTGTGTGTGTGTGTGTGTGTGTGTGTGTGTGTGTGTGTGTGTGTGTGTGTGTGTGTGTGTGTGTTCTTTGCCTCAACACTTTGACTGATTCCTGTGGCAGGATGTCTTGTGTGAGGCATCCATTTAGACGAGTGTGCACACACAGCATTTATAAATGTCATCCCTGGCCAACATGATCACATAAAGCCTTCTCAGACGGATTATTGCGGACGTATAACTCACGTTAATTGGCAAATCTCATTCTACTAAATGCGATCCTTCTCTCAGAGAAGGCTTTAAAGTGTCTGAAAAGACATGCAGAATGTGGCTGATGATAATGCGGATCGTTTCACTACAAAGGTATCTTGTGATCATTATGGAAAGTGCATACCTTTGCCTTTTTGGTGTTGGGAAGGATTTCAGATAAGCTATTTAAAAACTGTTGCACGAATTCACTCTGCGGTTTCTCTTAAAATTGCCCTCAAAAACACATTTTATATTGAAATGTCAAACCCCAGGAGAGATAATGTATAGGGGAATGTGTTAGTGTGTTAAGACAGTCATCATCGGTATGTGGTTTAGGTTAAGTAGAATGTACTTCACTTGACTCCTATATAGAAATGCAGTTTTCTGACAATACGGCATGTTTACCAGCTGTGAGAGAATTGTTGTGTTTGATCTCAGTGTACGCCGCCATTGATCTTTTAATGCATCTGATGCTGAGAGAGTCGGGGAAATGTATACCCCAGGGGTAGGTGAATGTACAGTGCACGACACTCCTTTCCCGTCTTCAACAGCTTCTGCATCTCCTCTCCACCGGCCCCACTTCTCCACCGCTGCTGGAAAACACACTGTTCAAACAGATTTGCAGCTGGCCTTGAACTTAAACACATTTGGGGAAATTTAAATACAGAAGGTAGGCTAAATAGAGAACAAAAGCGGCCCTCCGAGGACGGCGAGTACGCTCCCTCTGTGTTGTGCTAATGAGCACCTTTGTACAAACTGTAGCTTTTCAAAACCATGCTAATCGGACGCCTGTACTTTGTGTGGCTCTCTACCGGTGGTCGCCTCTCCGAACCCTGTAGCAGCATGGGGTCGCTAAACATTCTGATGCTCTCCTGTCTCGCAGCTACAGAAGCTTCCTTGCCGTAAACCTGACCACACCATCCTCCCAGTGTTCCCGCTGACAAACGCCGCGCTACTAGAGTGGACATAATTGTTGGATTGTGTGGTAGCAGGTGGCCCTGGAGTCAGTGTGTGGAAACAGGAGGAGCCGTCCAGTCTTCAGTGGAGCCTCTTGAAGCTACTTTCAGGAGATGGCTTAACAAGGCTTGATTGCATTAACATTTGTCATGCTTAATACAATACCTGAAAAGACGGGATCTAGCAATAACATGCTGATTTGAGGAGTAATTATGTGCTTTGTATTTTTTCCTTTGTTATATAGTTTGTGCAGCAAGAGAGGCCTTTTTATTCTCTGGCACAATATCTTTTGATTTGTCACTTCAGTGTGCTTGTCCGTGCAGGTTTCTGGTGGTCCCTCGGGGGGGGGGGGGGGGAGATAAACTCTGTGAACCTGGTGCTCTTGGTCCCACTAGGGTTGAGGTGTTACAGTCTCCCTGTGCCTCTTCTCTCCGGTGATCCTTGTGAAATGGGTTGCTTGCTGCAGAGAATAAAGAAAGCCCATATCATATTCCGGACATGTAACACAACACTGAGAACAAACAGAAATAGATACTCACATAAATCACATTTCCCAGATTCAATGGACAGGCTCTCGGATAAAAAAAATTAAATTTCGTCCACGACTCATGGATCACTCGCTGTTTTAGGTATATTAAAATAAAACTTTGAAGCAATCCTTTTCTAATAGGTTAAATATTAATGAGGTTTTGGTCAAGTGAGCCAAATCCAATTTGGCCCCATATGACTCGTGGACATGGTTATTAAAAGGCCAATCTGTGCTGCTCCTATGGCTTAACTCCCTCCCCTCCAGTGTAAGAAGCTGTATGTTTTGAACTCCATTCATCATTCACGTTCACATCTCACTGACTCACTTTCTTTTTAAACATCCTCTTTCTCTTGATCTGGCTCACCCTTAAAGCTTTTTGTTCCTGGAATTGAAGGGAAATATCTGAAAGAGAAAAGGGGCCAATTTCTGCAGAAGACAGAGGAACTCTAAAACAATTGCGCTCCCTAACATGCTTGATAAATAAATCTTTTCAGATTTCCCCGAAAAAAGTTAGCGGCGGTCACACAAGACATTGGTGAGGCAGTCCCAGAGCAGAGGACAAGGGAACTAGAAGTGACATTGTGGCTCTGGGCTGTCTCAAAGGATTAGGCATTACAGCATTCACTGGCATGTGCTTTTGCTCCTTCCCATTATATCTGCTTGTGCCTCTTTCCAGATGACTTCTTCCCCAAACTGATCCGGCGGGCAAGATAATTGATTAATATTTCTTGAGGGAACGATGACTAACCGTTGCTGAGTTTCAACCCAAACACTCGGGTTAAACATAGTCAAAGGCTTGGATCAAAATTCAGTGGTTTCCATATTTGACAGATACACAGAAATGGCTGGGAACTTTCAGTTTGTGGGTGTGTTTACATGCTCAGGGCATAGCAGATAGTCGCCTCTGTCCTAGGTCAAGGTCACAATCTGGATAAGCTGTTTATTCACATTTTACATTCTGTTCAACAGAGCGGATATTCACATGGACTAAACCTTTTACCACGCAAATCCAGGTTGTACTTATTTAAGGGAAGCTACCTTATTCTGGCTAATCAATTAACCAGTATTCAAGTTTCTCATGTTTACGTACCAATACAACAATTTGAAAGGTAAAGTAGAAGTCATGCAGGCAAAATTGTAAAAGAATAAAAGCATTATTCTGTACTTAATACAGGTAGAAAATGGCCCCTGTCACTCAAATATTTAAAATGTATTGTAAGGTGTGCCAATGCTTAAGTAGCGTTTAATTATTTTAAACCAACCTACAGTAGGAGAGGGTATGAAGATCTAAATAAATCTTGAGGGTTTGTGAGTATTTCCTTCCTAACCCTACAAATATTTCTACCTTTGCTTTTTCGTGAATTATAAGAATCATTTGGGCCTCTAACAGTTAAATAAAGCCTCTTGGTCCAATCCATTGACATGTGATCCGACACTGGTCTCGAGCCAAAAGGTTTGGGAACATTGGCTTAATATTTAACAAACATTGTATTTTAGGAGATTAGCATGTGTGGAATGTAGGACCATAAAACGGAGGTGCCTCAAAGTTTTACTTAAACACAGTACTTGGTTACTTTCTACCACTCAAATCAAATCAAGTTTTATTTATATAGCACATTTTTAAAACGATTTTTGGTCGAGCCAAAGTGCTGTACATATAATAATTACCTTACAGTAAGGACACTTTACAGCAAATACAACAGCACAGTTTACCACTGACTGTATGCAGGTTGTAGGTAAATAATATAAAACGTTTAAATATAGCAACTTATCACAATTATAGTATCTTTGTAAATTAATGTGAACGTTACAAGATCAATTAAACTTGATGAATGAATAAAAGATACTTTCATTCGGCCAGAACACCTACACTTACACTCAACTGGTTTTACATCAAGGTCGATAAAGACATTAAAAAGGTTTTCTGTCAATGGGAGAATTACAGTACATGCATTTATTGTGGGTGATAATGGGAGGTTGAATGGAACCATCTTACCATCTTAATAAGCTCTCATGTGATGCTCTCTAAAAACAATCATTACAGGCCTTCCTGGAGCACTCCCCTTCCCCGTGTTTATTAATCAGCTAATTACACATTGACAGTAATGGGCCTGCTGATTCCCACACTTAAATGAACAGGGCTGAATAGTTCTTTAATGATTAGCCTTTGTGTTTCTCTCTCCTGCTCGCTCTCCTTCTCTCTCGCAGACACACACTAACAGACCATTCTTTTCACAATTGAAAAAAAAAACAAGACATTCAAATCAGACCTCCTGGTGAGCAGGTTTGCACACAAGCAGAGTCAGAAAGCCCCTGACAGACTCTGAGCTGCTAAAAACAAATCTGTCTTTACAGCAAGAAAACAATTAGGGTGTTTACAAAGGCAGCGGGTTCCCGGCTACACTATGTCAACTTGTGTGGGTTTCAGTGTTAAGCTGAGCCTGGAGCAACAGCAAACAACCACCCTGGAAGTTTGGTGGAGCAGCGCAGGCAGGTGCAGGTCATAGACGGAGGAGATGGGGAGGGGTTTTTTGAAGGACGCGAGCAGGGTGCGGAGTGGAGCCGGAGAGGGCGAAATAGTGCGGTGGGCTGCATTTCTGTCAGCAGAAGTGATGGCTGAGTGGTAGCGTTATTTGTCTTGTGCTGCCATACGGCCCTCGCACCAGCCTGGGCATTAATGAGAGGGGGCCGGACCGCCGGGCAGGAACACGGCGGGCCCCAGACGCAGGTGATCTGTCACGCAGCCGTCGTGCTCGAGCAAGGAGACACATGAAGAGGGGAGAGGGGAGGCTGGGGGGCCGGCCTCCACATGTGGCACTTTCCAAGACGTAGGGAACGCACTGATGACGTTAATCAGAGTTTAAACCCTGACTCTTCCTGAAATAAAGCACTCTGAGTAAGTTCAAGTTTGGGTTATTACCATTGTCGCTTGATAGATATAAAGAGGAATTACATTTTGCAGTAGGAGACAGCAGGGGGGGGTTTCAAATTGCGATTATTAATTAGTCTGTTTCCGAGACAAGCTAGGGCAATTAAAATCCATCGGGATCTTCACACACACTGATTGATCTTTGCCTTAGGAATATCTTTCATTATATTGTCAACAGGTACTTATTTTCCTTCACATTCAAAAGGCAACATGGTGATATTCTATGATTTACTCATTGCAGAACACAACATTTTGGATCAAATATCAAAATGTGCAGGAATTATACAATTTGTAGCCACCCAAAATAGATCCAGTTTAAATTACAATATCAATGTGCATTTTTTTTATAATATCCAATAACGTATAATAGAGAACTGGCATGCTTTGTCTCGAAATCTAGTAAGCACTTGTTGGATTGAGTTGGGTTGTTGGATTGACGGTTGTGAGAAAAGCAGAAAATGGGCAATTTACGGCTGAGAAATGGAGTGGTCATCTAATCCAAACAGATACCTGGCTTGATCAATTGTTGTGTTGTTTTTCTTTTTTTCCCCCCAAACCAGTTTCCGCACTTCCACAGCAAGTGCTAAAAGGGTAAAGAAAGAAGACAAAAGCAACAGCTGGGTACCGCCTCAGTAATTCCCCACGGAGACCTGGAAGACACCTCCGGCCGAAGACCATTTTCACTCCTGATTACAGAGTCTCAAATCAAGCACTAACACGTACAACAATCCACTTCCTCTGGCCAACTCAAACAAAGACCTGGCTGTCGTGTTCACTGAGAGCAACGTGCTGTTCTCTCTTCTAAATGCAGTAAACAATCTTTACATGCAAACAAGATGTTTACCGGAGAACAACAAATCACTGAATCTGATTTTGTCTCTGAACAGATTTATGTCAGAATGGCAACAAACCAAAATGTGTACACGGGGAGTGTGAAAGCTTGTCAGAGTGAATGTGCGTCTCCTGGCCGCGGTGAGATTACTGAGGAGAGACATGCTCCAGCTCGCTGCCAAAGTAAAGATTTATACAGAGCAGTTGCAGCTGCAGAAACTGACATTGGACGACAGGGGATGCATGATAAATCATGGTGGACAGGGGGCACTAGACTCAAGAAGCAGGAAAACACTTTGAACAGGGCTGAGGGGGGTGTGCCAATCAGGGACCCTTCTCCTACGCAATATAGGAAACAGATCATCTTGTAGTCTCTTCATCCAAAACACACTATAAAGAATCCAAGGGGTCATAGCAGTATTTATTTTGGGAGAAAACCCATGAGAAAATACCCTATCAAACTCAAATGACATGCAGTGATCATTTGTAAAGTGCAGGATTTACAAATGAAACACTAACTTATTTGTATTTGTGGAAAAATAATGATTAATTTATCGTGTTTTGTTTAAGATTTCAATACATTTATTTCCCCCTCTTAAACCTTTAACAATAGGGTCTGTCAACTGTCCTAAACTGAGGGATGCCCCTTCGTTCCGCATGTTGAATATGAGGGGTCCTTAAAGGCCAGGGGTGATTCCTTTTGTACTTTTATGGGAAGTGGTTCAGCGCTGGGGGGGGTGAAGGACAGAGTTGCCGGCCGCTCCATCACTCAGTGCAATAAATGGATGCAATCTGTACCCAAGTAAAGCATTGGCTGTTTTTAAATTCCACCTCTTTTATCCAAATGAATGATGGACCCTGGTACAGTGCACTGTGTGACAATATTAACATACATCAGAGGCCTACACCCCTCACTAAATCATGGAACTACCGGCATTTGTTATTTAAATGACAAACAGGAGCTGCAGGAGTGGAGCACGGGGAGAGGACGCCGAGGAAAAAGGTGGACAAACCAATTCAGATTTCAATCCGGCAAAGACACAAGGCCCGGAGCCATGACTCTAATGAAAAAAGGCAGCTCCAGCAGGTCCAAACAGACACAGCGGCGGCTGCTCGCTGCCACCTGCAATACGGTGAACTCTACATCACTTCTCTTTGTCTTTCGCTTTAAAAAGGGAAACTTCAATCGTCAAACATATTAACAAGTCTAACTTCGCATTTCCATCTCCTGTTAACTCACAAAATATTTTCCATTCTGTATTTACAGAAACTGGTCAACTGCATTTAGGCAGAGTGGTGCTTTAAGAGTTATGTTAATATGCTCAATCATTAAGCTCACAAGCTGATTTATGGCAGGTTTGTTTACCATGTACACCTTCATAGGTATCCCAGTGATGGAAAGGTTGTTGCCTGTTCAATACCCAGGTATTATCTGATGTTTCTCTGTCATGCCCCCATTCAAAAGGTGAAAAAAAACATGGCCCCAACATCCTCACGCTAGCGAAAAACGAATCCCATTTTTATCAAAAACATACATAATGAATGCATTGTATAATCTCCAAAATGACAACAATTGATCTTCAGAGGGGCATGAATGCCTGTACCAAATTTCATGGCAATTCATGTTGAGATATTTCCCTAAAAAACCCATGCCAACCTCATGTTGGCATTAGAAAAGTGAGGGGACAAACAAAGCCATTAGGATTCATCCTCTGAGCACCATGATGGTCTATACAAAACATCACAGAAATCCATCCAGTAGTTGTTTAGATATATCAGTCTGGACTACAGAAGAGGACTGACAGAACCACATTGTTGCTAACACTGCTACAAAAAATGATAACTAAATGTCTCTTATTTTAGGTATCTTTATCAGAGATATCTAGAAATCCTTAACCTGCACGTTTAGTTTTGTATGCACCAACATAACACATGGAATAATAATATGAGCGAGTGGTGAGTAGGCCGGAGATTCATCAGTATGTGTGGAGGGTGATACCTGATGTTGTGACGGACACCGCTTCTGTTCTCCTCCTGATGTCACTGCGGGGTGGTGTGCACAGGAGACCTCAGTCTGCCTGAGGGGACAGAGAAACAGAGACCAAACGTTACTCCCAATACCTCCCCACACGTAAACATGTACAAATGTAATAATTCCATAAAAGTCGATAAACGCAAGCGAGGCACATTTGCAAACGCAGCAGTTTACAGTGCGATGCATATCTTGGCCCCGCCTTAATTTCTCTTCATTAATACATATTTTCAGCAGATGGAATATTGGATGAGGAGAGGTGCTGGGTGCATGTGGCTGAGTCATTGCAGAGTTCACATCAACACATTACACCTGCTCCTTGCCTCCTGTGTCATATGTCAGGAGCCCTGAAATAGGAAAAAAGCCCCCCCACCAGCTTAATAGCCCTGACTTCAGAAATGTAAAGTTAAGGTCAAGGTCCGTTCCATCACTGGGAAGGGAGGGGGAGAAGCTGATGTGGTGTGTATGTTTGTGCATGGGAGGAGGGGGACAGATTGAGTAAAACAGAGTTGGTGTGTGCAGGAGCTACCGTAAGATATGACGGAACATTTTAGTTAAAATCTTGCACATTCTGCGTATTATACACAGGTTAACTGCATCTAAGAGAAAATGTAAACAACAATGCTGTTTGAAAATGCCAATAAGCACAACTTGTAAAAATGAATTCATGACAGATTGCAGAACAGAGGCTCATGCAGCACGACGCTCCTTGTTATCCAGCGCCGCTCCTCACGGACGGCAGGCTACATAAAGCTCACAACCCTAACAAGCACATGCTACAATAAGGCCCCGTCAGGGCAGCCTTTTAACAGGCAGCGTGTTCCATGACCTCAACAACCATAAATCACATGACGGGGGTGCAGGCGCGGGGTGTCGAGAGCTGAGCGGGGCATGCTTTGAGCGAAGTCTCTATGTTGTATAATCAATAGATATAAAAATAAATGGCCTGACCGTTATTCTCTCCCTGCTACCCCTCTCTAATAAAATCCCAGTAATGCATATTTCATTTACTTTTATACTTATTGATTACCTGTACTCCAGTTAGTAAATCACGCGCCTATCGATCCCTCAATCGTAGCTCTGTCGGACAGCACATAACCAGCCATTTGCGGCCCTGATAAAGAGCTCAGGCATTGAACTCCCCACAGTAAATCTTTGCAAACTAACTTTTTAATTCCAAAATCGATCCCCCGCTTAAACGTTGCATTATTTCACGAGGCACGCCTGCGGTATTAAAAGTAATACCCTGATGCATTTGGTCTTAATGTGTGGAGGTCCATCCCTCAATCTCTTCCCTCATTACACCGAGTCCGAAGCACCCCGGGGCCCCTGCAGCCTGGAGGGAGGCGAGGGCCCTTCAGGCTGCAGGGAGCTCAGAGGCAGAGCCAGGAGCCCACCGAGACCCTCAGCACAATGCTAATCAAACATGAGAATACCATCAGCTGGCTCATTAACCAAGCCAAAACACACCATTCATCTCAGAGCAGAACCCAAAGGCTTATAATAAGCATGTTACATGGCTCCGTGTAAAACTGGGGGAAGTGGTAAAAAATGCACAACGCTGTTTTTATTATTTAACATCTGTTACTTCATCAGTTTATAACAGCAGGACAGATGTTGCCCAGTTGTTTTGTCCATAAATATACAGAAACTGTGATGAGAAAACAAAGATTGACTCAGGGGCAATAAGCAATGAAAAAAACTAATAATACGTAATGAAGACGGCTAAAAACAACTCAATTCTGTCAAAGACACAAGGACACAGAGGGGAAAGTCTACAAGATGGATTTTTCAGGTCATATGAGACACTTTGAAATGCAGTGCAGTCCCTCAGGGTGCAGAGTAAAACAGCACTGACACAGGGTCAATTGTAATTTTGGCGCCCACATCCAAAAGCAAATATATCAATTAAAAATAATAAATCAAAAGTGGAGTGAGGGGCCACAGTTACAAAATGGCCATCTATTTTCATTAGGGTACACGGTGCTTCAGGTGTGAGCAGGATCTTAAGATTAATAGCGGTATTCAAATGAATCAGAAAGGATTAGGGTCTCCAGGGAGCGTAATCAATAACTCCAAATCAATAATCAATAGGCCACTCACACCAATATACTAACTGCTGACACCGAGATCTCACAATTAAAATGAAAACTGGGGAAGAGAGTGGCGTAAGGCTATGATTTATCTCACAGCGCAAGTGTCATTTAGAAATAAATAAGTCAATAGATAAAAGCTGCCGCTGCCTGGCTCAGCTCAGGGAGGCAGTTATGCATTTTAACGCGCCCGCCGGCCCCGAGCATTACAGCCAAATCCCACAAAGCATGGCGTCTATTCACACGCCGATACGAGGATAAACAGCAAGCAACCTCAAACAGCCTTTATCACTTAACATCAAATCTCTGATTGTCGCCGTCAACTGGCGGCAAACAGGAGATGACAGCTTTTATTAATACAGTATCATTTCAACCTGGCCGCCATACAAGATTAATGCTTACACTCTGCCCACAGAGAAAACACTTTCTCTCAAGGGTGTTTGGAAACAAAGAAAAGTCAGATGTATGGGAGCTCAGCGCGAGAAATCGATCACGCGGGTTGGATGCTCGGAAAGAAATGAAAATATAGTGAAGTGAGATCAGGAGAGGGCGTTTTCAAGTTTGTTAAGAGCAGGCACGAGCAATTATACTATTCCTCATTGTAGTGCAACACAATAAGTGTAACTGGTGTTGTGTCTGCATGTGAATGTGTGTTTTGGAGGAAGTTAGACGAGGTGAACGGTGCCATGTGAGCAGAGCTGGGTCGTGAGGACAGAGCCTCCATCTCACTGGAGAGTGGATTTGAGCAGCTTGGGGAGATGGATTCAGCTCGTGCCGTCCAACGGGACACATCAGAAGCCCCTCTCGTCAATCCCCCCTCTCTCCCTCATTCATTTGGGAGTATGATTTATACTTTTTGAAGTGAAGGGTCTTGAATCCCACTATAAAGGAATTAAGAGGTCTCCCCTGAGTCCGCCATTCAAATGAGAGCATGGCAGGGATATGAGGGTTTTTTAATAGAGAGAAATTAGTATTCACAATGCCTCAAACTGGAATCTGAAGGAACCTTTCAGGTGGAGAAGAAAGGGCCAGTTTAGAAAAGAAAGCCCTAAGAAGTCGGGGGCTTTTCATAGCAGTCGTGTTTTTGCCCCTCATCAAGGAGTGCTGGAGCGCTCTGTGAACTAACCCAAGAGAGAGGGAGGACAAGGAGTGTGTGTGTGTCAAACTAAATTAGGAATGCACCATAAATAGGCCGAGTGGAAACAATACAATGAGGAGTCCCACAGTCTCCAGGCCAAGGGGGCTAAGCGGCTCCTCAAACGTCCCCCATGCAGATCCAACAGATCCAGGGATGACTGCGAGCGATGAGATGCTTTGACAAACATCTCTTGGATAAACCTCTTTATTTTATTTTGTGTGCAGTCCCAGAAATGCAGGGATTTGAAACTGCATTACAAACTATGTCAACACATAGTAGTTCTCTTTGGGAACGCTGACCTTGAAAACTATTTCATTTTGAAGTTTTAGCTGCATCGAACTGTAGCTGTCTATTGTCACTTTGCCTTAGACTTTGGGACAGGGTTGACATCAACACTTATCTTCTGTGTATGTAGACCCTGGGACCACTTTAACAGCTCAAAACACACTCAACGTTGTTTTATCAACTTCATTACTTAACAAATTCTATAATAAATGCTAATAAACCCGGTTTGATACTCATAACATTTTTCAGAAGTCTTGTACTTTGTCCACACATATCGAATGTCCACGCGTAGGATGTTAAATGTGGATAATAAGCTTATTTCGTGTGATTACTATTTTTATGATAATGTCTGTATTTTGCCACCTTACTCAATGTGCATGCTTAGTCTGTACCAAGTTACCAATTCAATACTTTTTACAAATCCACAATGAAATGGTTATTATATTAACACAGCATTTGAGTCCATGAAATCCCAAGCCGTGAGAAATGTAAGCTAGACTCAGCAAAAAGATGCCTGGAACTCCAGCAACATTTGGCTTAACAAAGATTTCTATAGTAAACAGCGACCTTTGCTCCGTAACAGATACATTTCAATGAGACGGTCAGTGACTGGTCCGTCAATATATTGAGCATTGATTAAAAAACGGAATGGAGTCTCCAATAGGCCCTTAAGAGCCTGCTTCACATCCACTACCTGTTTCTGCAGATTGAGGAAGAACATCTGAGACCGGAGCTCTCTGACACACGGGTAATTGGCACAAAGGGTTTAACTGGAAATTAAAAGTATCAATAAGATTTAGAGTCTGGAATTAAAGCAAGAAAGTGGAGGGAAGAGATTTATAAGGTAACGTACCTGGCTTCTGTCTCGCTTTCCAACAGGAGGCCGCCAAAAGCTAAAAGGACAAAACAGAGTATAATCACTAGGTGCAAAATGATGATGATGATACCACATGAGTTGTGTTTTCAGTTGAATTATTTTTCATCAGTATATCTTACTCTCTCTGGTAAGGATCTTGGGAGTATTGTCTCAGCCTCTCTACAAACACTGGCATGCCCTGGCTCTGTAAAACACAAATCAAACATGCATAGTAAGACACAAAGACCTTAACAAATGTGTCCTACGGCAGAGGAAGATGTTTGCTTTAACCTTGCTGGGGAGCCTCCTCCTGTCCCTCCTCATGCAGCAGGCGGCAGAGCCAGGCACTCGCTTCAGGCGTGAGTGATACCGATACCCTGCAACCACAAGACGCACAGTTATCTTCCTTTGTTGCAAAATCATGTCTAGTACATAATTAATGTTAGTTATAATGTGTCTAAGGCACAAAAAGGCTGTGCATACCTCTCTGAGGGGGCCTTGCAGGTTGCAGGAAGGTGGGGGGGGGCCGGTTGTCCAGCTGGCCGTCTGAGTCCCAGCCGGGCAGCAGGCCGGCTACACTGGTCCCGACCCCGCAGTCCCCCTCGAAGAACCAGTCGCTCTGCTCGTCATCGCCTGTACACGGGACAGGGAGGAAGTCACATCGGTTAGCATGATGCTGCTGCAGCCTGATGCTATAACTAGCATATTTGTACAAATGTAAAACCATTGCAGATTTCATTCATATGCCTTAGCAACCCCTGCTTTGTCCAAAAATCAAGTAACTTTGTTGAACCTTTAACTAGATTACTGATTGAGGATAATGTTGGAAAAAAGGAGATTCATATTTAACCTTTCTTCTCACAATGCATTCAAGTGGGGAAAAAACACTTGAAATGCAGGATGAGCTGTTTGAAGAAATGTAATCAACATTAAATTCAGTTTTTTCTGAGTGCTATAGTTTAGAAGAAGCAGTTGTTTGGTGATCCTGAGAAGTGGAGATTGGACTGACGGATCAGTGCGTCAATAATGACTGGATATTTTTTAGGGTAAACCCCTTTAACTACACTCTACCAACCGGACAACACCGGTCTTGTCCCCAGACGGCGAGCTCTTCTCAGACCTGTCAGTCAGCAAAGAGCACGCAGGAAGCATGCCTCTCACAGTCAAGGTGTAGTGACAACTGTTAAATCAGAGGCCGCCTGGCCCCACCACAGCTAATGAGATTAGCAAAGGCTTCAGCGCTCATTAACACGACATGACAACGTCTTATTAGAGTCGCCTGGGTGCCCAGCAACCAGCCCATTGTATCGAAACCTCCCTCTCAAGCCCCAGCATTCCCTCAGAGTGGGGCAGGGTATCTATCGTCCAAATCTGACAACTCTTCATTTTTCTCTTCCTAGATCATGAACGTTTCATCTGTGAGCTCCAAATACATAAAATCAAAGCAGTTACTTGATTGAACCATGCTGTTCAATTGTTCCCACCATACGTTAAAATTAGGATTTCTTTGAGTACCTTGTCTTCCCTCATCATTGGTGAACAGGCCAGGGTCACTGCTGCATGTGCTGCTGGTTTCCCTGCAAAACAAGAAGAGAAACATCACATGTGAATGATCAGCTGTTTCTTTAATATCAGTGACATTTGAGGATGGAGGACCCTGTTTTGATTTGTCATTTGAAACCTGATGGGTTCTTTAGGTCAGACAGTGTTTAAGCGTTTGAAACGTGAACAATGTGAATCAGAAATGTACATGCCCCTGTGATGTGGATGTTTAACATTCACTTATAAAAAATAATGGAGAAGTCAGAATCTAGAGGTCGACATAAATGTAAATGACAGAAAAAGACAGAGCGTGCCGTGTTCTCCCTCGTTGCGATAGCGAACACAAAGGCATGAGGAGAGGCTCTGATCGAAGCCACTGAGTGACATGCACAATCTAATTGAATATCCTCCGCTGTCAGCTCCAATCTAATCTGGCCGGCGTTGTGGAGGATGACAGGAGAGCGAAACACATTCCCCTGCCCGCCCCTCCCTCTGGGTGTGCCCCACACACAGAGCGGCCCACAGACATGCTGCTTCCTCACAACAACTGGCCAACATCTGCTGTGTGGGCTGCCACCGCTCGCCCCCCCCCTCCCTCTGCTCCCTCACTGCTCCTCTCCACACCCCCAGGCCAACCCCTGTTACAGTGCCTCCACACCCTCTGCTACCCCAGACCACCCTGGGTTTCCCTGCCTTTCTCACACCTCAGCCACCTTGAACTGGGACCTCCAGACACCCCAAGGTCAGCGGGGGAGTAAGGGGAGGGGTGGAGGGGACAAAGATGGAGGGACAAAAAAAGGATTTCCTCTCCCTGAAACATAACTGTTCCAATGCTGTTTGTTTACTTCTAACAATCATATGTCAACAGTTTTCTATTTCCAAAAGCTTTTTTCTGAAAAGAGAAATCACATTAATTCATCTTGGAGTAACTGAGGACCTTTATTCATTTATAATGAATCATTCTGATACAGTTTATGTTGCACTGCTGCCATAAATGCTCACTAATGTGTATCGATCCGCAGGTGAAAATAGTTCCACCCAATTGTACTTTTTTTCACAACACATAACACAACTAAAAACTACTGTGGCCAGCTATTTTTTTGAAATCTCTTAGCCATTTAAAAAAAGATGCAAATATGTATTTATTTAAGGACAATGATATAATATCAACATTCCTGTAGATGTACAGTATCAGTGTAAGACACCCAGCTAATCATGAACTGATTTCCTTTTATATGTTATGTATTTTTGACAATTCTTTTGCTAGATTTTTGTCTTTTTTAGGAAGAAAAAACGATTCTGTGACATTTCTAGACTAGAAGAAAGGTATATATGCCAGCTATACATTTTACTAACGACTTTATGAGAGGGTTGATAATTTTGATTGCCTTGCATTTTGCTTCCTGTTCTTCATCGCTGACCTTGCTCATAGGAGAAAGCTGGAGGGTCAGATATGCGCTGATACCGTGCTTCCCCATATTGCAGAGGCCTTTAAGTGAAGCAGGATCAGAAATGGTCCGTCCAGCCTGTCCTCCTGGCCAGATGGTCGCGCACCATCTCCTCTCACATCTACAAGAAGCAGATGTGAGAGGGAGCAGGCCTCTCCGGGGAATCTGGAGGATGCCGGGGCGTAGCAGTCCTGGACTGTCCATCCCCCCCCTCCCCCCTCAGCCCATCTCTCCAGACTGACTCCCCAGGCCTCTGCTCAGCTGTACCCCACCTCTGGACACACTGGCAGACATCTGGAGCACACAACTCTCCAACATCAGTAGAGGACACAGCCACAAGCTCTACCTAAACAACCATTTTGGATTTGATGCGTCATTACACAACCTTTATTACAATAAGTGATGATCAACCAGCAGTGTGGTGTCTTCTTCCATATAGGTAACCATCTTAGTAAAGTGTTTTCATCTTATTGAAGGGGTTTTGTTCAAAGTTTAAGAAGAATCACAGGTATAAACAATTAATTAAAGACACCCATTAAGTATTTATCCGTATTAAAAGGTGTAATGTGATGTCGCTTGGAGCAGCACAGGGCCGATGTGTGAGACCGTTTTCATTAAGTACTGCCTAATTAATGCAATGAATAATTGAGACCCCCATTTTTCTTGGGACCAAAAGAAACACCTCTTCTTTTCTCAGCAGTGACCTTTGTCGAGAAAAGTTGACAAACATTTGGGGCAAACTTGGTCTTTGGCTGACACACAAAATACCACCTCCCCCAGTCGTGGATTAGGTGCTATAAAGCAAATAAGTCTTAATTACATAAAATGCCATATGTCCATGGTGAGACAAAGGCAAGGGCAAAGACAAAAACTGCACTGCTGTGTTTTTAGAAGTGAACTTAAGTCCCCACATGGCCCTATTGTCTCTATACAAGCTGGAGAGGTGAAGCAAAACACAGTATCCAGATGAGCACTAATCATTAGGATATAATCCTCAACTCCTGGGAGAGGCAGAGCAGTTTGCACAGAGATTACAGGCTAGCCGCCATTTATTGAGCTCGGGCTCATTCTGCAGAGGAATAAAGAAGAGGCAGAGACGGAGGGGGGCAAAGCGCTGATAACAATGGATCTGTGGGCTCTTCAAACAAGCCGCCCCAACCCAAATCCATGCCCTCTTCCATGGGTGTCTGATTATAAGGTTATCCCACCATCCCTGAGCTGCAGTAATTGGATTAGTCGCAGAGATTTATGAAAATTAACTTCGCCAAATGCTGCACGAAAACTCCTCGTACACTTTTCAAAATATAAATGACAGCACATGTGGGAACAACATGCTTTGTTTTCTTCTGGTGGCGGGGTTGAAGTCAGCGGTAGCAGCTCGCAGCTGGAGACGGAGGCTGGGCCCGGGACGGCGTCTACCCACAGGTGAGGCCTGCTCGCTGGGCCAGCCTGGGTGCCAGGTGGCATCACTGCCAGCAGGCTGGGCCAGCTCTAATCAAGGATGTGGAGCCCAACTGGAGCCGCCAACATCTGCTCCCCTTGAACCTGGGTGGCTGAAGGCAACGCTCTGCTCAGTGTGCGCGTAAGAGGAGTGACCTTGAGGAGAGGCACGTTTAAAGAGACCAGACACTCCATATGAAGGAGGTTAATGGAATGAATGGAGACCAAAGAAGTGCTTCAAAAGACATTTCAACAATGGCATGTGTGTGTGACATGAAATGGGCAGTGCACTCTCTGAGTATAAATGTTGCGGTTGTACCACTGTCAACCCTTCATCAATGCTGACATTTGCTCGTATCCTTTGTCTTAACCATCAGATTGTTCAGCCCTCGGTTCAGTGTGGCAGTCTGCTGAGCAGCAATCAAGAGCGTTGGCGTTGTGTAAGTGAGAAATGATTGACAGCGTGCCATGGTGTTCCCATTTATTTCTTCTCCGGAGCTGTTTTCTGTCAGAACGGCTATTGATTTTTCCATAAAGTAAGAAAACAAGTACCGTTTAGGGGCTAGGGAGGTCAGCACAAATTAAACCAGAAGATGTAAAGCCTTCTGTCTGTCCCATTACACATTACTCCAAATGTCTTCTTCTTCTTCTTCTTCTACAGGTTTTATAGATCAACAGATAATGAGATCAGCAAAGGAAGTGCCCTGTGAGGTGCATGAGTAGACGTGGACAATGGGAACTCCAAGGCTCAAAACTGTTAATGAATATTATATTAAAACAACTGAAGTGCACTTCCCATTAATTCTGTCTATTTATCAGTTGATTAAACATGGCATGTATTTAATGCAGGAACACTATTTCTACATTCTGAAAAAATATATATATTTAAAGTAGGATCATCCTTAAAAGCCACCACTTTGATCCAAACTGAATGATATTTAATCATTGTAGTTTCTTAAATCTTATCTAAAGCACTTTACAATACACTTATCGTTTAAAGCTGCTATAAAATAGAAGGGATTTGGGTTGTAGACTGCTGCTTTGGCAAAATAAGAAAAATGAAACCATTTATTTTTAGCTTTACCATTGTTCAAAAGACTACATTTTGCAGCTTTTTATATTAGAAAAAGCATGGACTAGGTGACAGCTAAATATAATTGTTACATTGAGTCTTTTTCTTTCTACAATATATTTGAATGTTTGCTTCACTGTATTAACAAACTCTGTGCTGCCTGTTACAGACACATTTAGTTTCGCTAAATAAAATGCACACAAGACGGTGCAGTCTGGGACACTGGGACAGAAAGGAATTCATTTCAAAACAAATCAATACTACACCAAGTCACTTATTTATTTGTGACAATATTGCTGGAAAGGAAATAATGAGCTGGCAGATGCCCGGAGGCATAACTATCAAAGATCCCTCCCTGGTGATCATTCCAGCTATAGGAGATGAGGATGAAGAGACTCTATCATTCATTTTTAATGTCAACTCAATACTTTAAAGTGGAGTGATATGATTGTGATACTTTTTTTCTGGTTTGGTTGAGGACATGCTGAATATTGACAAGTGGCTCGATGAAGACAGGCAGCATAGATCATCTTAAATGTCGCCATGTTTAATTGCTCCTGTCTGATAGTAGTTATGCCCATGACTTTTATGTTATGGGTTTAACTGCCTTGGTAACTTTCCATTTAAAGGGTAAAAAGGGCTTTTGGAGTTTTGAGCTCCTTTTTCAGAATGGTTTTAATCCTGACTTTTGAAACAATGACAGGGTTAACATTTGGCTTGTGGCAGTGCGGTAAATTAAATGTAGGCTTCTGAAAACTGGATTTGCTTATTTTTCACAAATGATTATCCTAGAAAAAATGATCTAATCTTAAATGGATGGCGACTTTTGACTGGAGCTACTGTAGGAAAATAATGAATGTAACATTACCCTTCAGACATGTTCTCATCTGCAGCATCTCTGTGTTCCTTGGCCATCTTCCTCTTCCAGCACTCCTTCCCCATCAGCCGGGCTCCTTCAGTCGGCCGGTCTGCTGCCACCCAACCTCCAGACCTTTTCTTGGATCCCGCCAGATGTTCCATCCTGGACGGCTTCTGTCTTCTTTTCCCATCTACACTGGAAACCTTTAACTTCTGCTGCAACCTAACCGTGACGTCTGAGGTCATACGTTTGACCTTCCTCCTCCTCCTGAGCTGCCGTCCTGGATTATTCTCGGTGAAGGAGTCGGACTCTGGCCAGGAAGGCTGCCTATTCCTGACCGGGCCTCTCATTACGGAGCGCCATCGGTTGGTGGGGGTCACGTCGTCAGAGTCACTGCAGTTGGCCACAGAGGCGGCGATGGAGGAGGAAGACTTCTCTCTGTGTCCTTTAGTTTCGTCTAAGCTGGACTCCGAGGCCTCGATCCAGCAGCGTCTGTGCTGCAGCGGATAGAGGGAAGATTGACGGTAGCGTCTGTGGCCTCTGCTGCGGCGGATCTGCCGGCGCTGGTGCAGCGGACTCAGGACCATTTCCTGCCACAGCTCTCCCAGCTTGCTTTGCTCTGAGGTCTGCTCCAGAGCCGACACCAGGTCCTGCACCAGCTCATCCATCATGATGCTGGAAAACAAAGATACAAGACAGAGTAAACACAGAGAGCTTAACACCATGGATGATGCTACATCAAAATATGATACGTCAGTGTAGTTGGACATACAGCAGCCAAGACAATAAACAAAATCTGAACGTGAAGCCAATGCTGTAGTGCCTAAAGTGAACAATTCTATAGTTCATTTTCCTTGGTACCTTGTTAACTTGATAGAAAGATGTCTCCAAGTATTACACTCTGTAGTGATGTTAAAGCGAGCAAATGTGGTATTATGGCTCCAATACATTTAGAAATGTAATAAAGACATTACAGACTGAGACCTTGTTAAAATATCAGTTTTATGTGCAGGTTGCCAAAAGTGATAGTAAAATCCAACATTTCCAAAAACAGAAATGAGTTTGACAAGGATGTGAAACCATGTGATACATTATCTTCAAAAATGTTGTGACTGCTTTCACTATAACAGTTTATGGCGGTATTTACATTGTTTTATGTAAATGCTTGATCTTAATTTATCAGTTATCATATGATTTTATAGATAAGCCAAGAATTTCCAAGAAAACATGAATATACCATTATTATCAAAATACCTTTAAAAATAGACTGTTGAATCCATAAATAAAAACAGGGGTTACTTTCAATGAAAGATTGGACTCATATAATAACTGAGCACTGATACAATATATTGAAATGCAAACTGATCATTGGAGTTGACCAATTCCATGCTACCATTTACATCTGTGGATGTAGTCTCTCACATTGCTAAAACAAATAGACATAGAATGAAAGGCGTTATAGTGGCTTTTTAAAAAAACGATAGAATATACCCAGGCCTTTCCTACAGGTCTGACACTGTAGGAGCAAAGACACACTGTGTAACCTTTGTTTGTTTGTTTGATTGCAGCTGTGTTAAAATGAAAGCTTTGAGCATCTGCACATCATTATTAGCTACGAAATTAAAACACCTCCTTCATAACAAGGTAAGAACGTGACTGAAGCGGTACAGCATCAGTGCATCAAAACAATAGCAGACGTGCTAGACTGTGTTACATAACAACAGCTAACACGTGAGCTCAGCACAGCCACACATCTTCCGTTAAATCAGCGAAACCAAACGATTAACAGCTATTTACTCAGTCACCGTGTCTTAAAACGACTCCTAGCCGCTATCATGATGTCATGATTTGATATGCAGATGGCTGTGTTTGAGCACTCACCAGTCGCAGCTTGTCTTGTTTTGTTTTCAGCACAGCTGGGAAACAGACGCACTTCCGGTCTGCTGTCCAGCCAATCAGGTGTCTCCGCTTGTAGTGACTCTAAACAGCCCGCCACACTGTCCAAGCTTCTCATAAAAAGACTGTGGTTTATGCAGATAAGAAGCAGAAAGTCAGCCTGCTAAACTGCAGATATAACATTTACCTTTACTAGTTATCACCGTAACACTCCTATACAGGGGCGGTTCTAGGAGGGGGCCAGTGCCCCCCTAACACTGACTTTGGACCCCCCTGCGGCCCAACTGAAAATGAAAAAAAAAAAAGTTTATGATTAAACGATTTCTTGGCTGAGGGCTGACTTGTGGAACTAACGCTATTTGTCATTCTAGTCAGACCCATTAGAGCGTAAAAACTGTAACTATAAGTATCTGAAATAAATATGTGTACTGAAACAAATAGCCTACTAATAACTGTATTGCATAGTTTTCTTATCATAGGCGGTGCCAGGGGGGCGCTAGGGGGTGCTGCAGCTCCCCCTAGGATAGCCGTAGCACCCCCTAAGCAGCCCCAATAAATGTATGTATTTTTGTATTTTTATGTGTGAAATTCATAATTTGAAAAATGATTGATTCGAAAAGAATATGCTACAGTACAGTACAGTAGCCTACTTCTGGGTCTCTGTGTTTCATTCAAGCTCTGCTCTGTGTGTGTGTGTGGCACGAGCCATTTTGTGTACGTGCGCGAGCGAGCACCGGTACCGGAGATCGTTGTGGTTAGCATCTGGTGCTAGCTAGCTATGCTAAGGAGCTTTTTCAACAACAAGGTGGAGGGAGAACTCTCTCCTGTCAGACTGAGAGTCTCAGATAACCTCAGCTCAGGTTAGCTAAAGGACTCTCTCAGTGTTTAGATAGTTAACTTTAGTCTAAGTTATCTCAATGGGTCTCAAACGTTTTGGTCACGATTAATGTAAATAAGTATTTCTGAGGCACACGTTTATATGATCATTAGGCTATAGTTATAAAAAAACAAGAGAATAAATGAAAAACAGTTATGAAATACTATATGACAGTAAAACAAGAACACAGTTTAAAAGGAGAGTGATTTGTAAAATATCTATAAAGAAAAAGTAAATCTGTTTACAGTTCTGTGTCATATGGGTGTTGAGAGATGTATCCATAGATCTCTTAATGTTGCTCTCAAAGTGCACCAGATTGATGCTTTTGACTTCAATATAAAAATAAAAATCTTCCCGGGAAAGCATGCCCCCGGACCCCCCTACAGGATGTTAGGTCCACCCATAGACTGTATATAAACCCCCACTTGTAAAAATAGCACTTCGCCCCTGCTTACACCTATATGCCGTGAGCTGATTATCGAGCCTTCATTCATTGTAACAGTCGCGGGTGTACTGTGTATGTGTGTGTGGGGAGTGTTGTAGTAGAACATTTCACTGTAGCGCCCGGTACCTTAATGGGAAACCTCTATGAAACATCAAGCTACCCCACAGCACTCACAAAGGAAAATCTCTGCCGCCGCCACTGTTTCTTATGCACAATTACTTCATACTGTCTTTGTCGTCCTGCATTTATTGTGCCCCCCTCAGAAAATAACTGGCCCCAGCCTGGCCCCCCCAGTCAAATTGGTCTAGAACCGCCACTGCTCCTGTAACAGGCTGATATTCAAATCTCCTTTTTTTTATTGCAGTTTTCCTATAATGTTTCTGTGATACGGATATCTAAGAGAATTGTTTTTGATCCTATGTTGTAGTTTATTTATATTCCCTATAGTGGGCTCCTAGGCGAAAAATAAATACATAATCTCTCAAATAAAGTCTCAAATGTATTAAAATAAACAATTTCTTTAAAAGATAATTCATCTGTAAAAAATCAACACAAATTAAAAGTAGGACTAAAATAACTATATGTATCAATACAACTGTTTCAACAACAGAAAGAGCCTTCAGGAAAAGAAAATGACTGTTTCAAAGGTCTTTCTCGTACTTTTTACTTACTTTAATCCTACCCTGCAAAACATATCCAGTTTCTGTTATCGCTGTGTAGTGGGGGTGTTGAGTAACCTCAACAGTGATTTTCAAAATCTGAGTTGCCAGGTGAAGCACTTAGATACAATGCAGTGCACCACCTTATACATCCCACACAAACAAACAGAAACACAAAGCAGGGAAGAGGGAGTTGCACATTATCACAGGGTTGGTGTTCAATCACTTGCTGCCCAAATGTCAAAACATTTCTACGTGTTTTTGAGCAAAACACTGAACGACAATTTCTCTTAAAGGTTAGCCCAGACAGTACCTCCACTGCAGTTTGTTTGAATGAGAGGCTCATTGTAAAGCAGCTTGTACAGTTATAAGAGCATTAATTAAATGCAGTTCGTTAACCATTCTCCTTACAAATTACCATTCAGTTGAGTCAAACTGCCTATGAGTCTCAATGGAAATCTAACAGAGTGAAATTTAAACCATCTCAATTAATCTATATTAAACATTTTGTAAATTTCTTCAAACAAAATCCGAAACCATGTTACATGTGTGATAAGTTGTAGATTACATTCATTGTATTACTTCTGCAAATTTTAAAACAAAAGTGCATTAATACGCGTTTTATGATGTGTGACAACTCTCAGTAATGAAGAATTGTCTCTAAATGCCTGTGTGTTGCTGAATGAAGCAGAAAAAGTAATTTACCACTTTTTTCATCTCTCATATGAAGGCAGCCCAAACAATAAAAAAATAAAAGTCTGTGAAAATGAGTACAAAAGCCATTTAATCTCTCTCATCTTCCTCTTAATAACTGCAAATTTCCCCTTGGGCCCATGGGAGAGGGCCTCTCTGTGCCGCTGCCACCTTATCTGTCGCCTCCATATTTCAGCATGCTGAGCGACTCCCTCAGTACCCAGCCCCCGGCCCCTCTCGCCGGGCCTGTGGGGAAGCTGGGCTCCTGGGCCCGCCATTGTTCTGGCCTGGGAGGAAAGTCCAGAGAGAGCCCTGAAAGCTGGAGAGAGGGAATATTCAAATAAAACTTGAGCCACTGCTTCATTAAGCGGCAGCCTTTCACAAGCAAACATATCAGAAACAGCCCCCTTTCAGAGGCAGTAATTAGCAATTTGGAAACCTTGCCCCCTCAGGATATACAGTTTCAATTTAGTCAGCAGCTTTAGATTCTTAGGCACTTAATATTCATTGTTTCTGCCATCTTCCCAATTTCTCAACGTACATTGTCTAGTCTTTCACTGGCGATAAAGTGTTTTATCTTTCATGTAATTCTTCTTTTCAATGAGCCCTCTGCAAGAGAAGTTAATTTTTATAAATAATTTTCAAAGGGATTTGCAAAGAATGTGAGGGATATGATAGCAAAGTGCTCTTCAGGAAGTGCAAGGCTGAATATCATAGGGAGCTTGCACTTGATTGATTAAAGTCTGGCTGTAAATAGTACATGGAAAAAGTTCCTGTAACTTACTAGGGAGTTATATTGCATAGAAAAAACTGATCACATGGTCCAAAAAGTAAATAATATTCAAGTTTAAATTATATTTATTAAAAGGACATCTGGATACCATCACAGATTACAAAAAAACATATTAAATTGGCAAGATTTGTAACTTGACATTGCCTCCTCGTGATGATATTACATTATTTACTGTTTTCTACAATTGAAGACTAATGAGAACTCTTATCATGAATTATTTGCCTGTGTTTGTATTGGCATGGGAAACCCTTTGCATGGATTTAATGGCAAATGTTTGCAAACTGCTTGTTAAGCCAAACCACATATAGTACCTCTGGGGGGCAACGACAGACACTTATCTTTGCCACCATGGAGCCTTTGTTTCAAAATGCTACTACTTCCATTCATTTCCAATCAGCATTGTCTAATAGAAATAATTGATTTTTGCCTCTTCTCCACAAATGAAAAACGCCTGTGATTAAACATTTTGTCTCCAAATCTAAATTCCAAGATCCCCATCAACACTTTAGAAAAATAGGCAACTCATTAAAGCAAGAAGAAGAAGAAGTGGCTAAGACGTGAAAAGAGGAGGCAGGGAAAGAAATAATGAATGGAGTCCGAGTGAGCTATCTTTCCCAGGCAGAGCGCCACTAGGGATGCAAACTCTCAGCCACCAGAAATGAGCTACCTATCTGTGAAAAGAGTGACTGCTCCATCCTATTTGATTTGGCTTTCCTATCATCTCTTAAGAAGATGTCAGCCTTGCTTCTTCTATTGCTCTGAGCCTTTATCAACCCGGAGACGATTTCCCTGCGAAAAAAAAAGGGGAAGACGCATTTCAGTGCCTTTCAGGGAGCAACACTAAAGAATAAGTGTTATGCGATAAAAAGCGGGTTGTTAAATAGATCTGTCTATTTGTATGGTAATAATGATCGCTTAAAGACTCATGGCTTCGTGACTTGTAGAACAAGGAAACAAATCTGTATTCAGGTATTGTGTTAACACGACTCTCCAAACGACCTTGTAAAAGTTTCATAGAGTAAAAAATGAGTTGGATTCTCAAGCTTTTTTTTCTGAGTTTGTATCATTCTTTCCCTGTCCTTTGAGCTCCTGCACTAATGCTGCCAATTTCAAACTACTGAAGCTTTGCATTTTAAATTATCTTTGTCAGGGTTTTTATTGACAATGATTTAGTAATCAATTCAGTATAAAAGCAGAAATTCATAACAGAGTGTCTGAACACTATCTCATAATTGGATTGCTTTTATTTGATGCATTGACATGTACATGGCATTTTTGTGTCATCTTTTCGAAAACAGATACTATAATTAATTGCACAGAAATGTAATGAAGTAGAAGTACAAACTGCTCAAAATAGCAGCTAATGTAAGTACAAAGCTTGACTAAATGCACACTGTTACTTTCCACAACTAAATATTGGCTACCGTTTGGATCAATAAACCATTTCTAACCATTGTTAGTGTATCCTAGTTTCATCATTACCATTTAAACCGTCATACCTGCTGACTGTCAACAAAG